GATTAGGGTTAGGCATTTTGGTTATATCCTTTCTTAATATTTTCATCTGTTAACCTTTAAATTAGTTACAAGTGGCCAACGTAGAACCAGTGCAGTGTTGTTCTCAGTGTGTCTCTGTGCTGCCTTTCAGTAGTAACTGTCGCGCTCTCAAGTCTTCACGTCACTCTCATCCGGCTTGCGTCTCAGGGAACTCCCTTAGCGTTTCTGTAACTCGGCTCTAGAGGTGACACACTCCCTTCGCTGGTGCTCCTGGGACCGTTTCCACACCGTTTTCATTTCAAAGCACTGTGCCAGGCACACACTCCTGCTCGCCCGTTCTTTTCAGCGCTGCCAGCATGTTAGCCATTCTCCCTGGCTTGCGGTGCCTCTCCTTCCACTGACAGGCTTCTTGATATTCCTTTGTAAATAATGGGCTTCTGATCTCTGTGTTGATTTCCGAGTTAATCATAATATATCTATTGGCTGAATCTGATTGGAGGTATTTGAGTTTTGTGCACTTGAATGTCCATATATCATTCCAAATACGGAGGCTTTCAGCCATATTTAACTGAACATCCTAATCCTGTCACTCTCTCATCTCCCCCTAAATCTGCTTGATGATAAGTTCATAACCCCGAGACACCTCCTGCTCACCGTTCTTTTCTCTCTTCGGACCCCACATGCGTCCTCTGTTGCTAAGTTCCTTGATCTGTGTGCTGCTGACATACTCCACTGCACTTTCCACTTCAGTCAATCCAGTCTTCAGCTTCAAACTTTCTGCTTTGTTTTTTTTCATATGGATTCTTTGTGTTGAACTTACAGTTTCCTTGCATTATTTGTTAATTTTTTTAAAAAAGATTTATTTTATTTTTATTGGAAACAGAGATATAGAGAGGAGGAGAAAAAGAGAGGATCTTCCATCCGCTGATTCACTCCCCCAAGTGGCCACAGTAGCCAGAGCTGAGCTGATCCAAAGCCAGGAGCCTCTCCTGGGTCTCCCACGTGGGTGCACGGTCCCAAGGCTTTGAGCCTTCCTCAGCTGCTTTCCCAGGCCACGAGCAGGAAGCTAGATAGGAAGCAGTGCTGCCAGGATTAGAACCAGTGCCCATATGGGATCCCAGCACATACAAGGTGAGGACTTTAGCTACCAGGCTACAGTGCTGGGACCTATTGTTAATTTTTAGATCTGCATTGTCTGACAGCTCACTGAATTTCTTATGAAGCAATTAATTTGAATTCCTTGTCAAGAAATTTGTGGCCTTCCAATGCTTTGGAATTTTGCTGTTAGAATTTCATCATGTCCGTCTCTTCACGACCCAGTGGCTGTTTGGGTTGTCTGAGCACTAACGTAGCGGTCATCTCTTCTAGACCTGATGGACTGGCTTCATGAGCGAAACATGTTCACCTGTTTCAGATGGAAAAGGAGGCTGGAGGACACCGTGGAGAAGGGTGTGACTCCTGGTTCAGGTGGCTGAGGTCTGCAATCGTGGTAACATGTAGTCCTTGGTGTGACAGGAGCCAGGAAAGGCCTGTGACAGCTGAGGGGCTGTGTCTCTACTGTCACCATTACTGTCGCCCAGGTCTAATGGTGAACCACTGGTGCAGGACACTGGAGAGGCTTTGGTTCATGGTCTGTGTGCACTTGGTGGCCATCATATGGTGGTGCTGAGGGCTGGGGGAGAGCCAACTGCAGGTGTAGTGGGGGCTGGCGGTGTGTGCATACATGGCTACAGGAACCAAGGCTACATCCATGTACATGCACAGCTGTAGGGGCCAACTCAGGCTGGCAACGGGCACACATGTGGCTTTGTGGGTGTGGCAGTGGGGCCACACCATGGTGGTAAGGTCAGATGGTGGGTAGCGATGACTGTGCTCACACTTGCAGCTGTGGAGGTGGTTGGTGCTGTGCAAGTGTGCAGCTGCAGCAGCCAGCTGTGAGTGCACAAGACAACGGGTGCTCAACATGAGACCTGCAGGTTCCATGCACACGCACAACTACAGGGACGCAAACTGCCAGACTGGATGCACATGACGTCAGCGGCCAACGTCAGGGGCCAACATGGCTGGAGGACACCTGGGCATGGTCGCCAGCATAGCAGTGAGGCCCAGGGAGAGAGCTGGGCTTGGCGACTTGCATAAGTGGGGCCTAGGTAGGTGAAAGGGGAACAGGTTCCTGGGGAATGAGTGTCCTGAACTGCTGGGATGGTTCCTGGTTGAACCAAGTTGCGTTTCCAGTTCAAGAGAGGTCAGCCTAAACTCTACACCATGTTTTCTGCCCTCCCCACCCTGCTGTATCTCTTCCTTCTTCTAAAACCAAATACTTTAGCAGAGCAATGTACCTGAAGCCATGGGGTGAGAGAGAGCCCTGGACCCAAAGCCGTGGGGTGAGAGAGAGCCTTGGACCCAAAGCCGTGGGGTGAGAGAGAGCCCTTGGACCCAAAGCTGTGGGTAACAGCCTCAGTGAGTGGGCCCTGAGCTTTCCCTGATGTGGATGCAAAGACCTTGAAGGAGCTGGGAAGGTCGCCAGGGGTAGTGATGGATTGGGGCCAGCTGGGAAGCTCATTAGAATGGGAGCTGCCTCTGTGTCTGCCCCAGGTCCTGCTTCATTACTTGGAGAAGTGCTTTTGGAAAACCTCACTGTTGGGGGGCCCGTGCTCTCTGGGTGTGCCCACTCTGCTCTTCATCTTCTGTTGTAAACCAAAGTTGGAGGCAGAGGCCTGGCAAAGGCCCATTACTCACTTTTAATGAGACAGCCAGGGAAATAAATTGGCATATGTTAGGGAAATGCCTCATCAAGGTGAGTGATTAGCTCCGTGATGGGGCAGTGTACCCTCTGATGGAAGAATTAGCATCTCGTCCCTCACTGGGCTGTGGCTTTCCAGAGCAAGGGCAGGAAGCCAAAGGAAGCTGGACCGCTCGTGGTAGATACTTCCACTTGTCTAGTTCCGCTCTGGCACTCCACCACTTCCAAAGCTTTCAGGGGAACAGAAACTCAGAGCGGAAAAGTGCAAGGTAATGCTATGGGATGAGGTGTGTGTGTCAGTGTGTGCTGGGACAGGCTGGCTTTGCATGGGGCTGAAGCTGCAGCCGTGGACGAGGTGTCAGGAATTAGCTCTGATCAATCCTACTAATGGAAGTGACCTTCCTTCTAATCCTGAGCCAAATTTTAATTAGATTCCAGTATCTCCTCCTTTACTTTCATTTTTAATAGGATTTCTATTTTTACTTAAAAGGCAAAGAGACAGAGGAAGAGGCAAAGGTGGAGGGGAGTAGAGGTTGGGGGGGGGGACAGAGAGAGAGAGAGAGAGAGAGAGAGAGAGAGAGAGAGAGAGACACTTCTTTCTGCTGGTTCACTACCCTAAAGGGCTGAAACAGTCAGAGCTGGCTGGGTCCAAGCCAAGAACCAGTGGTTCCACCCATGTCTCCCACATGAACTGCAGGGCTTAAGTATTTAGCCAGCCATCTGCTTCCATCCCAGGTGCATTACAAGAAAACTGGATCAGACACAGAAAAGACAAGGTTCAAACCAGAGCTCTAATACAAGGTGCCAGGATTGTGAGTAGGGGATTAAGCCCCTGGGCCTCAACAGTAGTTCTTCCACGCTGATCTGCTGGCCTGTCCAATTTCCTAATAGTCATGTCCAGGCATGTCACTGTTGTTCACACGGCTTCTAACCTGTTACAGAAAACAACTTCACTACTATCTTTTTCTCTTGTAAGTTTTAGTTCTGTTAGAGCTTGTGTTCTGGACTAAGTGTGGGTCCTGGGCCTCCATCCCTAAGGAGCCTGCTACACTTCTCAGGATATAGAGCTGTGTCACGGAGAAAGGGCTCCCCTGGCTCACCTACAGGAAGTGATATCTCTGCTGCTAACTGGAGGTTTTGCCTTTTCCATGTTGACTGCCCAGGTGTCCTGGGAGCCCATGGTGCCCATGCACACAGTGCCGCATGACACGCCGCATGTGGGCAGGCCCACATGGCCTTGGGCCATCCTCTACTCCTTTCTCAGGCCATAGCCAGAGAGCTGGATAAGAAGTGGGGCAGCCGGGATACAATCCGGCATCTGTATGGAATCCTGGTGCTTGAAGGTGGAAGATTAGCCAATTGAGCCACTGCACTGGGCCAAGTTCTATTCTACTTCTGCCCCAAGTGTCCAGTTCCACATCTAACAATACGTAATTAAAGTGGACAAACTTTAGGTTTCACAACTTCTGCTTTATTGTGCAGTAGCTAAATCTTATTTGTAACCAAGCAGGGGGTAATACACATCCACACACACTAATAATTAAGTGATATGATTCAATAAGATAAATTATCTCATAAGTCATAAAGCATATTATTTCCTAAATTATTTTAAATATACTATCCAAGTAGTGAAAGCGATAGTCAAATGAGCGGGATTGCTTGGGCCTCTGCCTGGGGCCTTGTGCTGCATTGAGTTTATGAATGGTGACGGACATGCCCATTGGCATTCTGGGATTGCTCTCAGTTCAGTCTGGTAGTAGGGTGCAGCATTTTTTCCTGCTTGATTTTCATGTTGAAATTCCCAAAAGGGACTCTGGCAAGAGCTTGGAAGCTTCGCACATGGGTCTATGCCTTGGAAGGCGTTTTGAAATCTACACCTTCAGTTAGTGTCTCTCCATCTGGCAGCAGATGCAGGCTGCAATGGTGGGGAAGGAGGTGGTGATTCATACCTACACACAGAGGAGAGGGCCCAGACTTGGCTAAGTCAGTCGCAGGACTATCAGAATGACAACTGGGAATTTTTTTACTAACAAATTAGCCATTTTGGGTGCTCAGATGTGTGGCCAGGTCCATCGAATGCTCAGTGAGGAAGGTCTGAGGTTCCTTGGGGCTGTTTGAGGCCTGCCAGGACTGCTAATCCTTTGAGGCCATCCCCGGGAGGGCAGGACTGAGCTGGGGCCAGGAGAGGTATCATCTACCAGGCAGCAGAGTCCTCCTGGCTGCCCCCTACCCGCAGCCTTGAGCTTTCACCCCTGAACTCCCCTGGAGTCACACTCACCATTTCTGTCGATGGCAAAAGGCACATCCGTTGTGACAATTTCGTAGTTGCAAATCTGGCTGTACTGAGGGGAGCAGTCCTCGTCGACAGCCTCCACCTGCAGGATGCTGTCATAGATCTTGCCCTCAGTCACAACGGCCTTGTAGGCTGGCTCCTTGAAGGCGGGGGCGAATTCGTTGACATCCTTCACCTGGATATGCACCACGGCCCTGGGAGCGCACAGGAGAAGGACGAGATGGTGGTGGGAAAGACCGAGCCTACTCCTCCCCAGGCACCTGACTCACATCCCAAGGCCAGATGAGCAAAGCAACTACGAACCAGATGGGGCAGATGCTGGCAGAGTGATCATGATTCCGTCAAGCAGAGTCCTCGCCCGCCTTCCTCTTGCTGCTGAGACGGCCCCACCCCGCGGGGCCCCCCTCTCGTTCCTGGCCTTCCCAGGCCAGCTCTCCTCTTGTCACTCACTCTCCCTCTGTGCTGGGCACCAGGGCAGTAATGACCCCCTGCAGGAAGTGACGCTGACACTCAGCCATGAAGGTGATACAGGGAGCATGCCATTAGGGTTTGCAAGGCTGGGGCCCCATGTGGAAGGAGAGAATGGAAGACACGTCCAGGAAAGCACGGCAGGCACTCACTTGTGTGACTTCTTCCAGGATGTCTCCCGAGGCCCGGCCCCGCAGTCATAGGCCTGGATGATAAACGAGTACTCCTTCTGCAGCTCGCAGTCAATGGGGCTCTTGGCACGGAGCCGGCCTTCGCCAGACGTCCTGTTGAGCACCACGGCCTCAAAGGGCAGCTCCTGACCGTGGATCTTGAATGCACAGATTTCCCCTGTAGAGGGATGGGAGACAAGGTGGGCTTGTGAGAACAACACGATGAGACACAGGGTGGGCTTGTGAGAACACCATGATGAGACACAGGGTGGGCTCGTGGAACACCACGACAGGAGACATAGGATGGCCTTGGGAGAACACCACGACAGGAGACACAGCCTGGTGCCTGATGGACTCAATGTGCCCCTAGAGTTGCCTCCATGCACACAGAGCTATCAGACCTTGAGGGCTGCCGGAGGTCCAGACCACCACGCTCATCTCATGGTTGGGGAAGTGGATGCATTTCCTGCATGGACATATCACCCACCATGTGAATATGTGGAAACACAGGCATGCATTCTAGTGCCTTGCGAACTGCCTGATTCTTCCCGTTTCCCCAGCCTGAGATTAAGGACTGTGACTGTGGTCCAAAGTCAGATGGTGGCAGAGGAAAGGGGAGAAATCAGATTCAAGAGTCTTTTCAGCCGGACGGCAGCCTCCTTATCTGAGCGTGCACTCCATGGCCGACAGCATCTGTATCCCCAGGAGTTCATCAGGAACAGAGTCCTGGTCCCATCCTGACCACCTGGATGCCGAGGTGACGCACAAGTGGGAACAGCACCGTTCTTTCTCCTTCCTCACGGTGCAAACACCCACTGATTTGTGACCAGACCCCCATCCCCACCCTCCTTAGGCGCCACTCACACCCCCATCCCCAGGGCTGTGGCTTTCTCCCTGGAGACAGCGGAGGGAGTCTGTGTTAGACTAGAGTCCCAGGGGAGCTGGACAAGCTCAGAGAGCTGAGCATATTGTGAAACTTGGCTGGGGAGTGTTGGTTCTGTTTCTCTGCACTAACATGATAAAGACCTAAGGAACTTTTTTTTTTTTTTCTTTTCCTCAAGTGATGGCTGTTTAATTCTTCAACCTGACTGCCAGCAAGCTCTGTGATAGGTGCTCTGGGAAGGGCTGCGACTTGGAGACCTGTCTTGCAGCTGTACTGAGAGCGCTCACAGTAGACTTACTAGCAGAGAATGTATCAACGTCTGGAAAGACTGTTCCTGGCGTCCAGGCTGTGTGAGTGGCAGATGGTCAGTTACAGGCTCCTGGAGAGCCGAGACCTGGATTCACGTGCCAGGTCTGCATTTAGTAACCGCTCAGCTTAAAAAACCAAGTCATGCTGCCTCTCTGGTCCTTACCTGTGTCACCTGGAAGTTATGCCAGGATGGATGGTGCAGGGGAGGGTATGTACCACAGTCGTGCAAGCCTGAGCTGACGCTGCCCGCACTCATCCAGGGTGACCATCTAAGGAGGCCTTTCCCACAGAGTAACCCAACACCTGGCTGCCTCTGCCTGCTGCTGGCCTTGCCCATCTGTCCTAAGAATGGACCCTGCGCAGGGATAGCATGCTGCTCTGGGCAAGCCAGGTGATCTCATTTAACCTTCACAAAGCCCCCGCAGAGCAGGTATTTTATCCGGATTTGTACAAATTAAAGCAGAGAAAGCAGAATGAGAAGGATTAGAGCTATCGCTCAGGGTCACAGAGCTGGGCCTGGGTACAAAACGTAGCCTGGCCAGCTTCCTTCCACCCACCACCTCTCAACAGCCCCTAGTTCCTGCCCACTCTCTGAGCCTTACTGCCAGGAACAGTCCACAGTCTCATTCATGTCTCACTCAAGAGAGAAATTCCCACTTTACAACCAGGAAGCAGGTGCTGCCCTCCCGAACATGGTGTTTTCTAAGCTGTTGGATCAGTGTCACTCTTACCTTCAGGTTTCTGGCTGCTCATTATCTCTTCCACCCTCCATTTCATTATCTTCCCCCTTCCCTGGCTGTGTGGAATAACAGACAGGCTGTGGACCAGGCTCCATAAGGAAGGCCGGCTCCCCTTGGCTGCTGCTGCTCAGTCACTTGGCGTTTCTGCCCTGTCCATTCTAATTCAACTGATCCTCAAAGTTACTCTGGCTCTGAGTTAGCCGAGGTCGAACAGACAAACTTCTAAAGTGCCTGCCTTGTGATTCTGTCCTAAGATCAATGCCAATATGAGAACATTGCCAACAAATGCGCACAGGCTGCTTCTGGAACATTCTCTGGGGTGTGCCGCTACCACCAAGACTCTACGGCTAAGATCTGAAGAATCAAATTAAACCCCAAATCGATGAGGGTAATTTTCTGTTAGAAACATTGGATCACAACTAAAGTAGTACCCAAGACTCAGACATTCTTAAGAAGAAAGGAGCGGACAGAGGGAAAAGAGGAAGGGGAGCAGAGACATGGGGGGAGGGGACAAGATGCAGTGACCCTCTGGAAGACAATTTCTCTCTCGCTGAACTCAGCTGAGGTCGACTGTGTGGGGCCTGGAGAGACCAAGACAGACACCGGGGTCCCTGGGAGCGTAAGAACGCTTGTTGGAAAGTGCAGTGTCAAAACATATGCATAACATTCAGCCTCCAAATCACACACTGACGATGTTAGGAGGCGCAGGCTGAAGGCATCGTGGCGGCTAGAGGGCAGAAACCGAAGAGCACGTGGGTTGGTTAGGGCCACGAGGGCCGAGCCCTGTGATTAGGTTCTTAAGTTAAGGTAGCCAGGTACGTGTGGCAGAGGTGCCAAACCAAAGAAAATGGGAATTTCTGTGCAAGGGGGTAAGTTGTTCTACAGCTGAAGTGTTGATTCTGCTCAGTAACCCTGAGAGACGGGTTCCAATCCTCTCCCAGGAGAGGGGGCAGCTCAGGGGACTCTTCCCTGGGCATATTGTGCTGAAGTCCTAGGAAGATTTTTGGGAGCGCCCCATCCACAGAACACTCTACCTAGGATTTTTCCAGAAGGAAGAGGACAGGAGAAATGGGAAGATCTATTCTCACACCCATTAAAATCTCCATTCTGGTGCTTCCCTGAGATGGCCATCTGGCCTGCCCACTGTGTCCTCTTCATTGAGCTGGGCTGGCAGGCTGACCTCTGCTCTGTCTCCTGTCTGAGAATGCCTGAGCAGCAGTGTGCACCAACACGTGTGGCTCCTCAGAAGAGAGCGCACACACAGACAGACGTATGATGCTCTGTGTCTCTCTGTGTCCCTGCCAGTACAAACATCAACCCTGTGTGTTGAAAAGCAACACCTACTTGATCGCGGACACGGTGGGGCTCCAGAACTCTAAGCCAAAGTAACCCTCTTTCTTTTATAAAGTGAGCTGCCTTGGCTATTTCCTTAGGGCGACAAAAAGCTGCCTAATATGAATCCTTTGTCGTCAAATACCCCACACCCACCAGAAAAGACAAGGAAACAAACAGCCAACTGCTCCCTTCATGTCACCATCTCAGACACAGGATGTAGGCACGTTAGGACCAAGTCTAGAGTTCTTTCACCTTCACCTCTTCACCCCGCACCTGTGCTCAGGTTGCAAACACATTCATTTGCCATCTGTGTAAATGTGAATTTGAATGGTGGATATTCGTCAGAGATGACCCGCCTGACCCGTGGAGCGATGCTAAACAAAGGCAGGCTGTCCCTGGGCAAGCAGCTCTCACGGGCCAAAGAAGCAAGCGAATTGCAATCCAAGTGGATCGGGGGTTGGGGTGCTTGCTGTGAGGGCAGCTACCACGTGCTTCAAGGTCAGGATCCCAGGAGGCAGAGTAGGTGGCCTTGCCTAGGGCTGTGATGGCCAGGCTGCCATGCCAAAGGACCAGTTTGGAAGCTCCAGAAGAGGGAGCAGGGGTAAAGGCAGAGGAGAATGGGGAGCCCAAGGACTGCAGGCCCAGAGGTCGGGAGGGAGACTGTGTGACACTCGAGGCAGCTGCACCCCGGCCCGCACAGCACCCGGGGGTGAGTGTCTACACTGGGTCTCTCCCAGCCCCGGCTCTCCTTGGGGAGCAGAGACTGTGGAGCCTGAGAGAATGTTGTCTGTCCAAGGCCACTGTGATGGAATGGAGAGCATCCAGGACTGGAATCCAGGCCTTTGGGATCTAAGGTTGGCACCCTCTTTGTCCTCTCAGTTGGGCAGCCGGTGCTGGGACCCCCTCAAGGGGCTCTACAAAGCCCTTGAACAGTGGCGTGCAGCTTGCTTTGGCTTGGTGCTGATGCTCACACCAAGGACGCAGGCACAGTGGCAAATGAGAGCACTGGTGTCTTTGCGCATCATTCCCACAGGTGGCAAGAAGGCAGTGCCACTTCAGGGTGATGGCACTCTGCCCTTTTCCTCCCATCTTGGGTAGGAAGGAAGGCAGTGAGGGTGCGCCCAGCTGCCAAATGACAACAGCACCGGGCACGGGGGATGGGCACGGGGGATGGCCACTGGAGACACCTGAGAAACCCCAGTGTGGAGAACGTTCCAGGGTACTGCTTGAGCATTTTTGGTAGCTCTGAGACATTAAAAATAAGAAAACGGAATTATCAGAGCTCTTCATTTATCCAGATCTCCTGAGAGACATACCCGAGAAGAGGGCGCCTTGTGCAGTAACCGAAGGGGTCCCTTGCCCTTTACTGGTGTTCAGTCTCCCGATTCGGTTCCTAACACTAAAGACAACGCTGTTTCCAAATGGAAGTCCATTTGGCATTCTTCTGGTGGTTCTGTGACATTTCGCTCCATTAATGACTGCTCAGATGGCACTGTTAAAGGATACAAAATTATCTAATAACACTGGAGATTAAAATAATAGTACCTCTCAGTTGCTTATAAAAATCCACATGTATGTCTAAAAGATGGTTCTTACTGATTCATTGTCATGGCAGAGGGATGGCCTTTTAGCAAGTGGGGTACAGCTGGCTATGCCCTTTGCCACTAGAATGAAGGTGCAGAATTCTGTAACTTGTTTCAAAACAAGTGAAATGGCATGATGTGAAGATTATCTTAATAATTCTGCAAAGTAATAATTATATATTGCACAAGTCATGTCAATAGTCACACGATTTTTACCCAGAATATTTCCAGATCATACAGAACGTTTCGTACAGCGCAGGCCTACAGAGCAGGAGAGGCAGAGCAACATGGAGAGGGCTCAGGAAAGGGCTCCCTCCTCCCTCTTCAT